TTGCTCCGTTCATCTTTCCCTCGATCCTGACTAGTCTCCCAGTCCCTGCCGCTGAAAGACATCCCCACAGCATGATGCTGCCACCACCTTGCTTCACCGTAGTGATGGTATTGGCCAGGTGATGAGTGGTGCCTGGTTTCCTCCAGATGTGACGCTTGGCATTCAGGCCAAAGAGTTCAATCTTGGTTTCATCAGACCAGAGAATCTTGTTTCACATTGTCTGAGAGTCCTTTAGGTGCCTTTTGGCAAACTCCAAGTGGGCTGTCATGTGCCTTTTACTGTGGAGTGGCTTCCGTCTGGCCACTCTAGCATAAAGGCCTGATTGGTGGAGTGCTGCAGAGATGGTTGTCCTTCTGGAAGGTTCTCCCATCTCCACAGAGGAACTCTGGAGCTCTGTCAGAGTGACCATCGGGTTCATGGTCACCTCCCTGACCAAGACCCTTCTCCCCAGATTGCTCAGTTTGGCCGGGTGGCCAGCTCTTGGAAGAGTCTTGGTGGTTCCAAACTTCTTCAATTTAAGAATGATGGAGGCCAGTGTGTTCTTGGGGACCCTCAATGCTGCAGAAATGTTTTGGTACCCTTCCCCAGATATGTGCCTCGACACAATCCTGTCTCAGAGCTCTACAGACAATTCCTTCGACCTCATGGCTTGGTTTTTGTTCTAACATGCACTGTCAACTGTGGGACCTTATATAGACAGGTGTGTGCCTTTCCAAATCATGTCCAATCAATTGAATTTACCACAGGTGGACTCCAATCAAGTTGTAGAAACATCTCAAGGATGATCAATGGAAACAGGATGCACCTGAGCTCAATTTCGAGTCTCATAGCAAAGCGTCTGAATACTTATGTAAATAAGGTATTTCTGGTTTTTATTTTAAATACATTTGCAAAAATGTTGAAAAGCCTGTTTTCACTTTGCCATTATGGGGTATTGTGCGTAGATTGATGAGGAAAACAATTTATGAGTAAGGTCACTAGCTTCCATGGTGTCTCCTTAATAAAGCACAAAGAGATATCAGACACCTGCATGTCCAGCTGGCTGTTGAAACAGAGTCAGATCAGACACCTGCATGTCCAGCTGGCTGTTGAAACAGAGTCAGATCAGACACCTGCATGTCCAGCTGGCTGTTGAAACAGAGTCAGATCAGACACCTGCATGTCCAGCTGGCTGTTGAAACAGAGTCAGATCAGACACCTGCATGTCCAGCTGGCTGTTGAAACAGAGTCAGATCAGACACCTGCATGTCCAGCTGGCTGTTGAAACAGAGTCAGATCAGACACCTGCATGTCCAGCTGGCTGTTGAAACAGAGTCAGATCAGACACCTGCATGTCCAGCTGGCTGTTGAAACAGAGTCAGATCAGACACCTGCATGTCCAGCTGGCTGTTGAAACTGTTGGTCAGATTGTTTAAAACAATACAAGATGAAAATCTAAAACGATATGGCGGTCCGCGCCATTCTGGCTAATGGACATGTAAGGGTTGATATTTCTAAAAGGCTTTATATTTTACATTCACAGCTGGCACGCCATTTTAGAAAGCTCCCTGACTGACTGAGAGACAGGTGTAAAGCAAAATGCTCTGAGGCTCTGAAGGTGCTAAAGTTTACGCTTGGTGGTGCTTGGTGGAAGTGGCAGTTATTTCAATGTTGTTATTAAAAGGCTGCAAAAACTGCTTATTGAAAATAAAAACGTTATAATGTAAAAAACAAAACAAAGCCAGATGGTGGTAGGGATGTCCTTGTCCCCTGGCGGTAGGGATGTCCTTATCCCCTGGTGGTAGGGATGTCCTTATCCCCTGGTGGTAGGGATGTCCTTGTCCCCTGGCGGTAGGGATGTCCTTATCCCCTGGTGGTAGGGATGTCCTTATCCCCTGGCGGTAGGGATGTCCTTATCCCCTGGTGGCGGTAGGGATGTCCTTGTCCCCTGGTGGTAGGGATGTCCTTATCCCCTGGCGGTAGGGATGTCCTTATCCCCTGGCGGTAGGGATGTCCTTGTCCCCCTGGTGGTAGGGATGTCCTTATCCCCTGGTGGTAGGGATGTCCTTGTCCCCTGGTGGTAGGGATGTCCTTATCCCCTGGCGGTAGGGATGTCCTTATCCCCTGGCGGTAGGGATGTCCTTGTCCCCTGGTGGTAGGGATGTCCTTATCCCCTGGCGGTAGGGATGTCCTTATCCCCTGGTGGTAGGGATGTCCTTATCCCCTGGTGGTAGGGATGTCCTTATCCCCTGGTGGTAGGGATGTCCTTTTCCCCTGGTGGTAGGGATGTCCTTGTCCCCTGGTGGCGGTAGGGATGTCCTTGTCCCCTGGTGGCGGTAGGGATGTCCTTATCCCCTGGTGGCGGTAGGGATGTCCTTATCCCCTGGCGGTAGGGATGTCCTTTTCCCCTGGCGGTAGGTATGTCCTTGTCCCCTGGTGGTGGTAGGGATGTCCTTATCCCCTGGTGGTAGGGATGTCCTTATCCCCTGGTGGCGGTAGGGATGTCCTTGTCCCCCTGGTGGCGGTAGGGATGTCCTTGTCCCCTGGTGGCGGTAGGGATGTCCTTGTCCCCTGGTGGCGGTAGGGATGTCCTTGTCCCCTGGTGGCGGCAGGGATGTCCTTATCCCCTGGTGGTAGGGATGTCCTTGTCCCCTGGTGGCGGTAGGGATGTCCTTATCCCCTGGTGGTAGGGATGTCCTTATCCCCTGGTGGTAGGGATGTCCTTGTCCCCTGGTGGCGGTAGGGATGTCCTTGTCCCCTGGTGGCGGTAGGGATGTCCTTATCCCCTGGTGGTAGGGATGTCCTTATCCCCTGGTGGTAGGGATGTCCTTATCCCCTGGTGGTAGGGATGTCCTTATCCCCTGGTGGTAGGGATGTCCTTATCCCCTGGTGGTAGGGATGTCCTTGTCCCCTGGTGGTAGGGATGTCCTTATCCCCTGGCGGTAGGGATGTCCTTATCCCCTGGTGGTAGGGATGTCCTTATCCCCTGGCGGTAGGGATGTCCTTATCCCCTGGTGGCGGTAGGGATGTCCTTATCCCCTGGCGGTAGGGATGTCCTTGTCCCCTGGTGGCGGTAGGGATGTCCTTGTCCCCTGGTGGCGGTAGGGATGTCCTTATCCCCTGGCGGTAGGGATGTCCTTATCCCCTGGCGGTAGGGATGTCCTTATCCCCTGGCGTTGGCACACAGTAACAAAGATTCAGAACAATTAATGAATCCACTACGTTTTCTTGTTTATTGGATTTTTTGTTGGATTTTTCTTTGACCTTAAAATGCAAACAACTAAAGGATCTGAGTCGAAGAGGCGTCACTACAGACTTTTCCCCTTTTTACTGAAAGCTCATTTCAATCCAGGAAACAACATCCAGTTCTGTTAGATACAAAACTACAACATGTACAGTCATTCCATCTGCTGTGTTAGCAGAATAACAGTCTGTATACCAATGTATGTATATGGGGCTCTGGTCAAAAGTAGTGCACTATGTAGGGAATATGGTGGCATTTGGAACGCAGCATGTGTTCTACTCCGTGTGTCTTAATACTGTTAATACTGCTAAGGATACTGACTCCTTTTATTAAGGTTAACCACAAGCTGCTGTGACAGAAAGAGTCCTCCTCCCTGAATCACACCATCATACTCATCTCAACTACAGAACTAGCTTCATAATGCCATCATGTCAGTCTGTTAGGCCTACTGTATGTTAGTTAGTGCAACTAAAGCCATAACGTTATTATGGAGGTCGTCAGAATAGTTCCTGTTTGTTGTAACTGATAAGACAACAGATTCTCTGTCTGCTTCCATCCTCCTTATTCTCATTCTGTTAGATATCTCCTCCCCCTCTCCTCTCTCCTCTCCCCCTCTCTCCTCTCTCCTCTCCCCCTCCCCTCTCCTCTCTCCTCTCCTCTCTCCTCTCCCTCTCCTCTCCCCCTCCTCTCTCTCTCCTCTCTCTCTCCTCTCCCCCTACTCTCTCTCTCCTCTCTCTCTCCTCTCCCCCTCCTCTCTCCTCTCCTCTCTCTCTCCTCTCTCTCTCCTCCTCCTCCTCTCCTCCCCTCTCCATCTCCATCCTCGCCTCTCCCCTCCTCTCCTCTCTCCCTCCTCTCCCTTCTTCTCCTCTCCCCTCCTTCTCCTCCTCTCTCTCTCCTCTCCCTCCTCTCCTCTCCCTCTCCTCTCCTCTCCCCTCCTCTCCTCTCTCCTCCTCCTCTCCCTCTCTCTCTCCTCTCCTCTTCTCGCCTCCCCCTCCTCTCTCCTCGTCCTCTCGCTCTCTCTCCTCTCCTCCTCTCCTCCTCCCTCCTCATCTCCTCTCCTGTTCCTCTCTCCCTGCTCCCTCTCTTTCCCTCTCTCTCCTCTCTCTCTCTCTCCTCTACCTCCTCTCCGCCTCCTCCACGCTCTCCCTCTCCCCCACCCCTTCCTCTCCTCCCTGGCCGACTCCTCTCCGCAGTCCTCTCTCGCTCCTGCATGCTCGTTCTGACCTCTCCTCTCCCTCTCCCCCCTCTCCTCTCCTCCCTCTCTCTCTTCCTCGCTCTCTCCTCGTGCCCTCTCATCTCTCACTCGCTCTCTCTCTCCTCTCCCTCCTCCTCCTCTCCTCATCCTCTCCGCTCCCCTCGTCCTCTCGTCTCGTCCTCGCTCTCCCTCTTCTCCTCTCCTATCTCTCTCTCTCTCTCCTTCCTCCTCTCCCCCTCTCTCATCTCTTTCCTCCTCTCCCCTTTTCCCTCCTCTCTCTCCTCTCTCGTCTCCTCCCTCCCTCTCCTCCTCCCTCTCCTCTCTCCCCCCCTCTCCCATCTCTGCCCTCTCTTCCCCTCCTCGCTCACTCTCCTTCTCTTCCCTCTCCCACTTCCCTTCTCCTCCTTCCTCATCACCGTCCCTTCTCTCTCTTTCCCCCCTCCTCTCCTTCTCCCCCTCTCTCATCTCCTCCCTCCCTCCTCCCTCTCCTCTCTCTCGCCCCTCTCCCTCTCTCCCATCCTATCTCCCTCACTCCCCTCAGCCCTCTCCTCTCCCCCTCCTCTCGCCTCTCCTCTCTCCTCTCCCCTCTCCCCTCTCTAGGCTGGCAGTGCACATAATGCCCCAAGCCTTTGGCTCTCATCAGTTTTCCCCCAATCAATTAAGTTATTTGGTTTTGTTCCCAATCTGCTGTTCTGCTTTGCTTTGTCCCATTGGCTGGTCTGGTCGTCCGTCCAGGTGGGAGGGCTACATTCATTAGCTGGTGCCCGCCGGAGGGAGGGAGGTTGGGAGGGAGGGAGCCGCCCCGCTCGACCTGCTGGTCACTTGGAATGGTGCATGCTGGGAGCTCCCTGCTGCTGGTGTTTCTGTTCCTGCTGTTTCACCTGCTGGATGATCTCACGGATCTTCCTCTGAGCAGACTGGAAGAAACAGATTTATCATTTGATAATGTCAAAGTGTGAGACTTGAATATTACACTGGTCCTGTGTGGCTCAGTTAGCAGAGCATGGCAGCCATAGGAAAATGTATGCACAGACTCCTGTAAGTCGCTTTGGAAAAAAGTGTCTGCTAAATGGCATATATTATTATATATTATATATGACTAGAGCAGATAATACATGATATCACATACCTGACTGGCGAAGAAATGCCCGCTAATCTTTACAAAGACCTCATCGTTCTCATCTGGCGTTTGGTCTCGTGGCACGATGACCTCCGCACTGGTCAGGTTCTGCAGTTCATTGACCTAGAGAGGACACAAAGGTCAAAGATCATGACCCCTGAGTGGAGAGACACTGACCGGTGCTGTGACTCCCAGGTGTTATTGTTATTCTCACGGTCTTGCCCCCCTTTCCGATGACGCGTCCGGCTGCAGTCGAGGGAACTTTGATATGTGTCTCTAGCTTCACTTCCTCCTTCGCTGTGAAGAAGTTCTCCTCTTTCAGCTTCCCAAATATCCTGCCCTGGGCCTGAAGGACAGGAGAAGGCACTATGTATATGAAGTATGCTGAAGATGTTGACACTGTTCACATAGATCTGAGTTTACCTTAAACTGAGCCTCTGGAGGTCCGGTGATGATGACCATCCTCTCAGTGACGTCAGGGTTCTCTGCTGGGGCGATCTGGGGGACAGGGAGAGGAGAGAGGGGAGAGGGTCACCACCTCAATAATGCCTAGAGCCAGACCTGAGCCAAAGCTGTGGAGAGAACATGCCTTCCTCTTTAGGATGCCTGGTCTGTTATGGTTAGAGGGGATCTTTAGGATGCCTGGTCTGTTATGGTTAGAGGGGATCTTTAGGATGCCTGGTCTGTTATGGTTAGAGGGGATCTTTAGGATGCCTGGTCTGTTATGGTTAGAGGGGATCTTTAGGATGCCTGGTCTGTTATGGTTAGAGGGGATCTTTAGGATGCCTGGTCTGTTATGGTTAGAGGGGATCTTTAGGATGCCTGGTCTGTTATGGTTAAAATCAAATAAAATAAAATTTTATTGGTCACATGCGCCGAATACAACAGGTGCAGACATTACAGTGAAATGCTTACTTACAGCCCTTAACCAACAGTGCATTTATTTTTAACATAAAAAAATAAAACAACAACAAAAAAAGTGTTGAGAAAAAAAAGAGCAGAAGTAAAATAAAATAACAGCAGGGAGGCTATATACAGGGGGGTACCGTTGCAGAGTCAATGTGCGGGGGCACCGGCTAGTTGAGGTAGTTGAGGTAATATGTACATGTGGGTAGAGTTAAAGTGACTATGCATAAATAATTAACAGAGTAGCAGCAGCATAAAAAGGATGGGGTGGGGGGGCAGTGCAAATAGTCTGGGTAGCCATGATTAGCTGTTCAGGAGTCTTATGGCTTGGGGGTAGAAGCTGTTCAGAAGTCTTTTGGACCTAGACTTGGCACTCCGGTACCGCTTGCCGTGCGGTAGCAGAGAGAACAGTCTATGACTAGGGTGGCTGGAGTCTTTGACAATTTTGAGGGCCTTCCTCTGACACCGCCTGGTATAGAGGTCCTGGATGGCAGGAAGCTTGGCCCCAGTGATGTACTGGGCCGTACGCACTACCCTCTGTAGTGCCTTGCGGTCGGAGGCCAAGCAGTTGCCATACCAGGCGGTGATGCAACCAGTCAGGATGCTCTCGATGGTGCAGCTGTAGAATTTTTTGAGGATCTGAGGACCCATGCCAAATATTTTCAGTCTCCTGAGGGGGAATAGGCTTTGTCGTGCCCTCTTCACAACTGTCTTGGTGTGTTTGGACCATGATAGTTCGTTGGTGATGTGGACACCAAGGAACTTGAAGCTCTCAACCTGTTCCACTACAGCCCCGTCGATGAGAATGGGGGCGTGCTCAGTCCTCTTTTTTTTCCTGTAGTCCACAATCATCTCCTTTGTCTTGGTCACGTTGAGGGAGAGGTTGTTGTCCTGGCACCACACGGCCAGGTCTCTGACCTCCTCCCTATAGGCTGTCTCATCGTTGTCGGTGATCAGGCCTACCACTGTTGTGTCGTCGGCAAACTTAATGATGGTGTTGGAGTCGTGCCTGGCCATGCAGTCATGGGTGAACAGAGAGTACAGGAGGGGATTGAGCACGCACCCCTGAGGGGCCCCCGTGTTGAGGATCAGTGTGGCAGATGTGTTGTTACCTACCCTTACCACCTGGGGGCGGCCCGTCAGGAAGTCCAGGATCCAGTTGCAGAGGGAGGTGTTTAGTCCCAGGATCCTTAGCTTAGTGATGAGCTTAGAGGGCACTATGGTGTTGAATGCTGAGCTGTAGTCAATGAATAGCATTCTCACGCAGGTGTTCCTCTTGTCCAGGTGGGAAAGGGCAGTGTGGAGTGCAATAGAGATTGCATCATCTGTGGATCTGTTGGGGCGGTATGCAAATTGGAGTGGGTCTAGGGTTTCTGGGATAATGCTGTTGATGTGAGCCATGACCAGCCTTTCAAAGCACTTCATGGCTACAGACGTCAGTGCTACGGGTCGGTAGTCATTTAGGCAGGTTATCTTAGAGTCCTTGGGCACGGGGACTATGGTGGTCTGCTTGAAACATGTTGGTATTACAGACTCAGTCAGGGACATGTTGAAAATGTCAGTGAAGACACATGCCAGTTGGTCAGCACATGCTCGGAGTACACGTCCTGGTAATCCGTCTGGTCCTGCGGCCTTGTGAATGTTGACCTGCTTAAAAGTCTTACTCACATCGGCTACGGAGAGCGTGATCACATAGTCATCCGGAACAGCTGGTGCTCTCATGCATGCTTCAGTGTTGCTTGCCTCGAAGCGAGCATAGAAGTGGTTTAGCTCGTCTGGTAGGCTTGTGTCACTGGGCAGCTCGCGGCTGTGCTTCCCTTTGTAGTCTGTAATAGTTTTCAAGCCCTGCCACATCCAACGAGCGTCAGAGCCAGTGTAGTACAATTCAATCTTAGTCCTGTATTGACTCTTTGCCTGTTTGATGGTTCGTCGGAGGTCATAGCGGGATTTCTTATAAGCGTCCGGGTTAGAGTCCCGTTCCTTGAAAGCGGCAGCTCTACCCTTTAGCTCAGTGCGGATGTTTCCTGTAATCCATGGCTTCTGGTTAGAGGGGATCTTCTGGTTAGTGGTCCTCTGTAGCTCAGCTGGTAGAGCACGGCACTTGTAACGCCAAGGTAGTGGGTTCGATCCCCGGGACCACCCATACACAAAAATGTATGCACGCATGACTGTAAGTCGCTTTGGATAAAAGCGTCTGCTAAATGGCTTATTTATTTTTATTTTATCTTTAGGATGCCTGGTCTGCTATGGTTAGAGGGGATCTTTAGGATGCATGGTCTGTTATGGTTAGAGGGGATCTTTAGGAAGCCTGGTCTGTTAGTCAGCTATCAACAGAGACAGTTTGTAGAGATATAGGAGTCTAACATCGTCAGCAGGAGTCCAGAAAGCCCCAGTGACTCAACCAGCCCTTACCACAGAACAGTGACTCAACCAGCCCTGACCACAGAACAGTGACTTAACCAGCCCTGACCACAGAACAGTGACTCAACCAGCCCTGACCACAGAACAGTGACTCAACCAGCCCTGACCACAGAACAGTGACTCAACCAGCCCTGACCACAGAACAGTGACTCAACCAGCCCTGACCACAGAACAGTGACTCAACCAGCCCTGACCACAGAACAGTGACTCAACCAGCCCTGACCACAGAACAGTGACTCAACCAGCCCTGACCACAGAACAGTGGCTCAACCAGCCCTGACCACAGAACAGTGACTCAACCAGCCCTGACCACAGAACAGTGACGTTCAAGAGTTGGATGATCCTGAGATGCTTTCAAGGCACTTTGCTTTCCTTAGGTGCAGTAAGTATATATTTTTTGTAACCACATTTTCTAATGTAAATAGTTTATGATTTGCTTTTCTTAAAGGAATAAGAAGTACTGTACAGCCTGGTGTTGTTGGAAAAGGAGAGGTCCTCCTACCTTGATGGAGGCCCCAGCGAAGCGTGCTAGCTGTTTGATGTGCTGCCCCTTCTTCCCGATCAGGGCCCCTACAGCCTGGGGGGGGATTAACAGATACACCACTTCCTGGTCTGGAGGCTGCTGCTGAGAGAGACAACACACAGAAGGGCTCTGGTCTGGAGGCTGCTGCTGAGAGAGACAACACACAGAAGGGCTCTGGTCTGGAGGCTGCTGCTGAGAGAGACAACACACAGAAGGGCTCTGGTCTGGAGGCTGCTGCTGAGAGAGACAACACACAGAAGGGCTCTGGTCTGGAGGCTGCTGCTGAGAGAGTCAACACACAGAAGGGCTCTGGTCTGGAGGCTGCTGCTGAGAGAGACAACACACAGAAGGGCTCTGGTCTGGAGGCTGCTGCTGAGAGAGTCAACACACAGAAGGGCTCTGGTCTGGAGGCTGCTGCTGAGAGAGACAACACACAGAAGGGCTCTGGTCTGGAGGCTACTGCTGAGAGAGACAACACACAGAAGGGCTCTGGTCTGGAGGCTGCTGCTGAGAGAGACAACACACAGAAGGGCTCTGGTCTGGAGGCTGCTGCTGAGAGAGACAACACACAGAAGGGCTCTGGTCTGGAGGCTGCTGCTGAGAGAGACAACACACAGAAGGGCTCTGGTCTGGAGGCTGCTGCTGAGAGAGACAACACACAGAAGGGCTCTGGTCTGGAGGCTGCTGCTGAGAGAGACAACACACAGAAGGGCTCTGGTCTGGAGGCTGCTGCTGAGAGAGACAACACACAGAAATGCTCTGGTCTGGAGGCTGCTGCTGAGAGAGACAACACACAGAAGGGCTCTGGTCTGGAGGCTGCTGCTGAGAGAGACAACACACAGAAGGTCTCTGGTCTGGAGGCTGCTGCTGAGAGAGACAACACACAGAAGGGCTCTGGTCTGGAGGCTGCTGCTGAGAGAGACAACACACAGAAGGGCTCTGGTCTGGAGGCTGCTGCTGAGAGAGACAACACACAGAAGGGCTCTGGTCTGGAGGCTGCTGCTGAGAGAGACAACACACAGAAGGGCTCTGGTCTGGAGGCTGCTGCTGAGAGAGACAACACACAGAAGGGCTCTGGTCTGGAGGCTGCTGCTGAGAGAGTCAACACACAGAAGGGCTCTGGTCTGGAGGCTGCTGCTGAGAGAGACAACACACAGAAGGGCTCTGGTCTGGAGGCTGCTGCTGAGAGAGACAACACACAGAAGGGCTCTGGTCTGGAGGCTGCTGCTGAGAGAGACAACACACAGAAGGGCTCTGGTCTGGAGGCTGCTGCTGAGAGAGACAAACACACAGAAGGGCTCTGGTCTGGAGGCTGCTGCTGAGAGAGACAACACACAGAAGGGCTCTGGTCTGGAGGCTGCTGCTGAGAGAGACAACACACAGAAGGGCTCTGGTCTGGAGGCTGCTGCTGAGAGAGACAACACACAGAAGGGCTCTGGTCTGGAGGCTGCTGCTGAGAGAGACAACACACAGAAATGCTCTGGTCTGGAGGCTGCTGCTGAGAGAGACAACACACAGAAGGGCTCTGGTCTGGAGGCTGCTGCTGAGAGAGACAACACACAGAAGGGCTCTGGTCTGGAGGCTGCTGCTGAGAGAGACAACACACAGAAGGGCTCTGGTCTGGAGGCTGCTGCTGAGAGAGACAACACACAGAAGGGCTCTGGTCTGGAGGCTGCTGCTGAGAGAGACAACACACAGAAGGGCTCTGGTCTGGAGGCTGCTGCTGAGAGAGGAACACACAGAAGGGCTCTGGTCTGGAGGCTGCTGCTGAGAGAGACAACACAAAGAACGTCTCTCTCTCATTTTGACATTAAAAGTTCACCTCAGCTCAGCTCTTGCTTCTATAATTATCCAAAATTAAAACCAAGGTAAACTGAAATTTATAAAAAAAAGTATATATATATATATACTGAAACTATTATATTTCACTGCAAACTAACAACAACAAAAAACATTAATTATGTTTAGTTTAGTTTTTTTCTTCTAAACTTTGGGCAAAAATCTAAATGGGGTTTAAGCTTTTTTTCCTAATGGGGTTTTCAAATGTCAAGTTTCAATGTCACAAGTACAGGTACAGGGACAGGGACAGGGACAGGGACAGGGACAGGGACAGGGACAGGGACAGGGCGGAGTACAGGGACAGGGAAAGGGACAGGGACAGGGACAGGGACAGAGACAGGTACAGGGACAGGGACAGGTACAGGGACAGGGACAGAGGCAGGGACAGGTACAGGTACAGGGACAGGGACAGGGACAGGTACAGGGACAGGGACAGGGACAGGGACAGGGACAGAGGCAGGGACAGGTACAGGGACAGGGACAGGGACAGGGACAGAGACAGGGACAGGGACAGGGACAGGGACAGGGGCAGGGACAGAGGCAGGGACAGGTACAGGGACAGGGACAGGGACAGGGACAGAGACAGGTACAGGGACAGGGACAGGGACAGGGACAGAGACAGGTACAGGGACAGGGACAGGGACAGGGACAGGGACAGGTACAGGTACAGGGACAGGGACAGGTACAGGGACAGGGACAGGGACAGGGACAGGTACAAGCCTTTCTAGCGAACTTAAAACCCAACAATGCAATAATCAATGACAATGAAATACTACTAGAAAAAAACACACAAGAAATAAGAAGAAATATGAAGAACACAATAAGTAAATAATCAGCTATATACAGGGTCAGTCCCAGGGTCAGTAGCTATATACAGGGTCAGTCCCAGGGTCAGTAGCTATATACAGGGTCAGTCCCAGGGTCAGTAGCTATATACAGGGTCAGTCCCAGGGTCAGTAGCTATATACAGGGTCAGTCCCAGGGTCAGTAGCTATATACAGGGTCAGTCCCAGGGTCAGTAGCTATATACAGGGTCAGTTCCAGGGTCAGTAGCTATATACAGGGTCAGTCCCAGGGTCAGTAGCTATATACAGGGTCAGTCCCAGGGTCAGTAGCTATATACAGGGTCAGTCCCAGGGTCAGTAGCTACATACAGGGTCAGTTCCAGGGTCAGTAGCTATATACAGGGTCAGTTCCAGGGTCAGTAGCTATATACAGGGACAGTTCCAGGGTCAGTAGCTATATACAGGGACAGTTCCAGGGTCAGTAGCTATATACAGGGACAGTTCCAGGGTCAGTAGCTATATACAGGGTCAGTTCCAGGGTCAGTAGCTATATACAGGGTCAGTTCCAGGGTCAGTAGCTATATACAGGGACAGTTCCAGGGTCAGTAGCTATATACAGGGACAGTTCCAGGGTCAGTAGCTATATACAGGGTCAGTAGCTATATACAGGGTCAGTTCCAGGGTCAGTAGCTATATACAGTTCCAGGGTCAGTAGCTATATACAGGGTCAGTTCCAGGGTCAGTAGCTATATACAGGGTCAGTTCCAGGGTCAGTAGCTATATACAGGGTCAGTAGCTATATACAGTTCCAGGGTCAGTAGCTATATACAGGGTCAGTTCCAGGGTCAGTAGCTATATACAGGGTCAGTTCCAGGGTCAGTAGCTATATACAGGGTCAGTAGCTATATACAGGGTCAGTAGCTATATACAGGGACAGTAGCTATATACAGGGTCAGTTCCAGGGTCAGTAGCTATATACAGGGACAGTTCCAGGGTCAGTAGCTATATACAGGGACAGTTCCAGGGTCAGTAGCTATATACAGGGACAGTTCCAGGGTCAGTAGCTATATACAGGGACAGTAGCTATATACAGGGTCAGTTCCAGGGTCAGTAGCTATATACAGGGTCAGTTCCAGGGTCAGTAGCTATATACAGGGACAGTTCCAGGGTCAGTAGCTATATACAGGGACAGTTCCAGGGTCAGTAGCTATATACAGGGACAGTTCCAGGGTCAGTAGCTATATACAGGGACAGTTCCAGGGTCAGTAGCTATATACAGGGACAGTTCCAGGGTCAGTAGCTAAGGGTTCAGTTCCAGGGTCAGTAGCTATATACAGTTCCAGGGTCAGTAGCTATATACAGGGTCAGTTCCAGGGTCAGTAGCTATATACAGTTCCAGGGTCAGTAGCTATATACAGGGTCAGTTCCAGGGTCAGTAGCTATATACAGGGACAGTTCCAGGGTCAGTAGCTATATACAGGGTCAGTTCCAGGGTCAGTAGCTATATACAGGGACAGTTCCAGGGTCAGTAGCTATATACAGGGACAGTTCCAGGGTCAGTAGCTATATACAGGGTCAGTTCCAGGGTCAGTAGCTATATACAGTTCCAGGGTCAGTAGCTATATACAGGGTCAGTTCCAGGGTCAGTAGCTATATACAGTTCCAGGGTCAGTAGCTATATACAGGGACAGTTCCAGGGTCAGTAGCTATATACAGTTCCAGGGTCAGTAGCTATATACAGGGACAGTTCCAGGGTCAGTAGCTATATACAGTTCCAGGGTCAGTAGCTATATACAGG